GATTAATGGGGTTTCAATGCATTCCTTTGTGAAATGGTGCTTTGACTTACGACCAGTTCGAGTTACGACCATCTTCTGGAACGGATTAAGTTCGTAAGTTGAGGCACCACTGTATCTCTAGACATCACTGGTTGTATACTGAGTCATGTAGCTTGGTGTGCAACAAATAATGTCAGTCAACTTATGGCACTTCACCTCTAAAGGTTACATGCTGTGCATAACTGCGCAATAACATTTATGCCAATGAACTATTATTTTATGAATTAGCCTAAAAGAATGCATTTGATTTTCACAGAATGATAATATGTTATAAGGTAGCGATAGTTTTAAATCTTTAAAATATTTTCTCACATATGGTGTTTATGATTGGGATTAGAAGAATTTTTAAAAATACTGATACTACACCCCTGTGGGAGTGCAGCCTAAGCAGCTGACCAGTCAGTAAACCAACCTTCAATCCAGCCAAAGTTGCCAATCCCTAGTTTAGAGGGAAAGAATGTGTATTTGATGTATCTGAGTGTGTGATCTCATTGATGCCTTCATAAATTCTTAATCATGTATACAGTTGTGTGTTTTTCTGGCTGTTTTTTTTTAATTATGTTTTCTGCATTTTTAAAAAAATTGACAAAAAGTACAGCAGTGACAGGATTGTGTTCTGAATTTATATCAGGACCAGGATAAGTTTGTGCACATCCAGATATCAAGAGACATTTACCTAAATAGCCAAATGACAAGGCAAAGGAAGTTTGATAGTTCCTTTAAAAATATTTCATAATTCGTAATTTTTGTTCTTCATAGATCTTTTCAATCCTTCATCCCCAGTTAGGGCATATATGTGTATTGTGTTGGTGGTTACTGGGTTTTAATGACATTTTTGCTTTACAAAGGCTGTGTTCTGTCATACCTGGAATAATGAAGATGTAACTACTGAAAACATTTTTTATTTCAGAATATTTTCTCTACATGTTTTATAGAGATGTGCCAGATGAACTTTATTTCAGAATATTTTCTCTACATGTTTTATAGAGATGTGCCAGATGAACTGCCAGTATGGGTTGGTGAAAATGAAGCTAAGAAAGGCTGCACAATTTCTCAGCTTGGTGACAATGTGTTTGCTGCTGTAAAGTAAGGTTTCATACTGGATTTATGAATTTAATATTGATCAAATTAGACAATGTGGAGGAGCTGTTTTTCAATGTTGGGCCTGTGCGTTTTTTTCCTTACTTTGAAATGTAGCTTCTGTCTCTTTGTGCATTTTTGTGTTTACATGCATGCATGGATGTGATGAGTGGGTCTGTGGCTATGTTCTCTTTACCCATGGGCCATCAAACGTTCACTTCAGTTGATTTTCTCCATTTGTGAAAAAAGATACAGGAACCAATTATTTTTCTTTTGTAAGTAGAGAAATCATACTGAACTTGAATAAATTTTGATAATACATAATCACTACTACTCCTTTCTTCCTGAGCTCTCTTGGACTGCTGTTCTCTTTGTAAGATTACGTGGATTCTTAGGAGCATACCATTGATCAAAGAATTATCCTGCATTTGCAAGAAAGTTAGCGCATGAAGCAATATGACTTAAGTACAGCTGTCTAGTAAACTGGAACATACCCACTCCCTATTCTGCCATTGCTCCAAAAGAATTTGCAACTGGTCGAGGTGGACTTGGAGTTTAAAAAAAGCCAAGAGACTGCTCAGAATTTCTGGTTATTAAAATTTATTTTCCTTGTTAATTACATATCTGCCACTTGCTGTTGTACAGCTGTGTGTTACTGGCTTGTACAACTCTGTAGAACATTTTTTGTGCTTGAGCTGTTCAAGTGAAAGTGAGGTTTCTCTCAGTAGCAGAGTAAGTGTTGTATAGACATATGGGCTGTTACTCACATGATAAAGCAGGTGTAACTAGCTAAAACAACTAACCTTTATTGAGAAAGTTACATCCAAGATAGAAAAGCTTAAACCCTAATTCTGACTTGATAGACTTGTGACTTAATAAATGATAGATGGGAACGGGTCAGTAAGTTGTTTCATCTCTAGAAAGTCAGGAAAAGAAGGAACTTGGACTTGATAGACAGACCCTGAGAATATAAGACATAAGAAATTTATTTGTCATTCCGCTCACAAGTGGGTGCAACGAAATGTGGTGCTCTTCCCCAAGGTAAAACTGGACAACACTACAAAAAAAAGTTAAAATATACACAACTTTCACCATCCAAATATAGATACCCCGTTTTCTCTCAGCAATTAAAATTCCACCAAAAACCTATGGCTGCGCATTTAAACTCAATACTGCATTTGGGTAAAAACTGTTCTTGAATCTGCTTGTCCTTGCTTTCAATACCCTGAATCTCCTTCCTGATGGTAATAGTTTAAAGAGCTGATATCCCGGATGAGAGGAGTCTTTCAGTATGTTAGATATCTTCCTCTTACATCTGTTCTTATACAATTCTTCCAAAGAGGGGAGTGAACAGCCAATGATGTTTTGGGCCGTCTTAATCACCCTTTGAATTGCCTTTTTCTCTGCCACTGTGCAGCTCGTGAACCATACACAGAGACAGTAGGATAATATGCTCTCAATCGAACTCCTATAGAAGGTGATTAACAAACTCTCAGTCAATTGTTGCTTTCTAAGAATCCTTAGAAAATACAACCGTTGTTGTGCCTTCCTGATTAACGCAGCGGTGTTTGCACTCCAAGTCAGGTCATTTGTTATGATGGTCCCAAGAAACTTACATTCAACCACCTGTTCCACACAAACTCCATCTATATACAGTGGCTGAATGTCTGCTCTTTTTTTCCTATAGTCCACTATGAATTCCTTGGTTTTTTGGATGTTAAATAAAAGATTGTTTTTTTTGCACCAGCGGGATAGCTGTAATACCTCGTCCCGATACGCAGACTCATCATCCCCAGAGATAAGTCCTACTAGTGTAGTATCGTCTGCAAATTTGATAATCCTATTACTGGGATGGTTATTGGTGCAATCCGATGAATAAATGGAGAACAGTAGTGGACTAAGGACACAGCCTTGTGGAGTGCCAGTGCTGAGTATCTTGTCAGTAGAGATGTAGTCATTCAGTTTAACCCTTTGTGGACGATTTGTTAAAAAATCCAAAATCCACAGACAGATAGAATCTCACAATAGACACAGGAGGAAGTACTCAGAGATCAGAAGCCAAAGGACAGCCAGGATCTCTAGCTTTTCAACTCCCAAATGCTCCTTGGGGCCACCAGGACTGGATAGGTGCTAAAAGATGATGCTCAAAGGGTGCTAAGCCAACATTGTGAACATTAAACTAGTTAATGTAAGAGATTTAGATTTAGTGTGTGGCCTAAATCTAAAGGGAGCTGTTCATCCACGAATCTGTTTTACCCCGTTGTACCACCAAGGCCTGTTCTGGAGAGGGCAGGAAAGTTCTGTTGGGGATTGCAACTACATGCAATTGATAAACCTGTTTCTGTTAAAAAGTCAGTACTGGATGGACCTTAGTCTTTCATAAGAAATAAGTTGATAAAGAAATCCACAGGTGGCAGCATGTCAAGAGGCGTGTTGGGGTACCTTTGTCAGCTCTGGGGTGGTGAAACAAGCCGGGGCTACAGGGCAAACATCACAGCCTCCCCCATGGTGGCCACCTGGAGGAGCCTCAACTGGGATGATCTTGTGGGTTGGGCAGATGACATTAAGGAGAGACGCTCCAACAAGTAACATGGGCCCAAACCATGGAGGGCTTTGTAGGTGAGTGTCAAAACCTTGAACCTGTTCCAGGATGCCACTGGCAACCCGTGGAGGCGAGCCAAGACTGGAGTGATGTGTTCAGATTTTTACTTGCATTGGCCACAAGTCTGGCTGCAACATTCTGGACCTGCTGAAGTCTCCAGATCAGGTTGAAGGGGAGCCCCACGTAGAGGGCATTGCAGTAGTTGATCTGGGAGTTGACCAAAGTCCTGAGGGAGTCCTCATCTAGGTAGGGGTGAAGTTGGGTGATTAGCCTGAGCTGGTTAAAGGCTGATCGGATATGTACCCTTCTTGCACCTCAACATTAATTCCAAGGAAATATAAGAACACACTTTTTTTTCTCCCAGAGAAAAAAAGCGAGCAGCTTTTTTGATGCAGGACTAAGCCAATTTAACACAATAGGGGTTCTCTAAAATAAAGATTAGTTAGATTGGAGTAGTAATTAATGTAGCTGTAGATAAGTCTGATTTGCATATCAAAGCAAAGTGTGCTGTTTATATACCATCCTATAGCACTTAAAGCACTCTCTGGGTAGTTTACAATTTAATTAGGCAGGCTACACATTGTTCAACCCACCCAGCAAGCTGGATACACATTTGACCAACCTCAGAAGGATGAAAGACTGAGTCAATCTTGAGTATCTGAACCTGTCAGGATTGTAATCGGGTTGTGAGCAGAGGCTTGACTGCAGTACTGCAATCTATCCACTATTCCACAAGCTTCCTACATTGTTTGTAGATGGTGATTCCTTTCAGCAGTCCCGCACAACTAGTTATGTACTGTATAGAGAGTGTGGTGGCTAGTAGGAGTATATTGTAAAGTTTATTTAGAGTGGAAATTAAGTACAGGAAGGATCTATAAAGCTGCCTAATATTTTGGATGAAGAGAGGGGATTGATTTGAGTTTCTTACTGTTACAACTTTAGTCATAACTTTCTCTTCAATCAGTGGTTTTTTCCGTGTTCTGGGCATTTTCCTGCCTTTAAAATATAGGAGGACATAGATATGCATATTGGAAAGACAATAGCAACAAAGCATCTTGGACTTACCAACTTCTCCCAGCAATTGGCTCTTTAAGGAAGTGATATGCACGGAATTAATGGGGAGAGTAGTCTTTTAGGCCTGCCTCTTAAAGAGATAGATTCTGAATATTATAAGATATTACAGACACACACACCCCGGCCACTTCCTCCTCCAGCAGTAGGTATATGGCTTAGTATTTTTCCCTTGGGAAACACATTCCTGGTTCAGGCATCTTCCTGTGAAAGCTTGTCCTATCTGGTGGAAAGGGTGTGAGATAAAAAACAACTATCAGCCATAAATCCCACTGAAATGTGACCATTTGAGTAAAAACAATGGAGATTAAAATATAAGTTTTCAGAATGTAACAGGATTGAGAGGTAGAACTACAGCATCAATGAATATAGCAGAGCATAGGCATCTTTCAGTCTCAAGAGACTATGGTAACGTGCTCTGTATCGAGGAGTGTCTTCTCCAGAGCACGAAGTAATATGGAGGATAGGCTGCTACCCAAGCAGCAAATCCCCCCTCTCCATGTTGCTGAATAATAGGCATGACTAAAGGGTTGCCAAAAAGGAAAAAAAAGCAATGTCTTCATTATTATTTTGTATAAGAGAGTTGGCATGGAAACGTGCTACCAACCACATCTATACAGTGGCTAGATCAATTATATAATCAGGTTTTCTGCTTTCATGCAAAATATTTCAAGTTCTTGGGAGTGTCCAGTTTGTGAACTTGAGTGGAAATGGATGCTCCAATGTGCATCTTCTGATGTTTAGCCAGGGGTGCTTTCAGACAAATGGTTCAGTAGTTTTCACTGAAAGTAATGTAAAATAAGAGACCTGGGTAATATACTATACAGTATTCAGTTTGCACATACTGACTGAAATTCTGTTACTTAGTATAGTAAGCTGTAACTTGAGTAGGTAGGTCTACTGGATCTGTGTGGATTTGGTGAGTCATCTGCTCCATAAGCCCCATTCAGTGGGCCTGCTCGAGTTGCTTCCTACTGTGCTTAGCAACAGGATTTCAAGCACTGCATGCTTATTTTCTTTTTAATTCCCTATGGGCGATTTTCACATAGCGATTTTGGGACCATGCTTCGCTTAACGTTTTTGGTTTTAGGTCCCCTGCTTCACTTAACGATGTTCATTTTTTCAATTACAAAAATGTCTTAACATGTTGAAAAACGGTTTTAAATGCTTGGAATCGTTAGTGCACCTTCTAAAATGTGTGCATACTTAATTTGGCGTTGATCTGACTTTTCGTTAATTTTTTGTGAATTTTTTTCTCCCCCATAGGAAACAATGGAGCTGTCAGATTTTGACAGCTGTCAAAAGTTGGGGGGAAAATTCACCATAAATTAACGAAAAGTCAGATCAAAGCCAAATTAACTTTTGCATCCGTTTTAGAGGGTGCAGAAGCTAATCCAAGCATTTAAAACCATTTTGACCCTTTTATGACACACTTAAATTTGCAAAAATTGACTTCGCAAAGCCATTGAAATGTATTGAGTCGGCTTCAATACATTCCAATGGAGGAAACATTGTATCGTTTAACAATGTTTCCTATGGGTTTTTTCGCTTAAGGACGCCAATCCGTGCCTATTGGAACGGATTAACCGGTTTCCAATGCATTCCTATGGGAAATGGTGTTTTGCATAAAGTTTTTTTCGCATAAGTTTTTTTTTTGAACCAATTAAAAACGTTATGCGAGGCACCACTGTATATAATATAAAGCAAAACTAAATGCAGTTCAAAATTTAGGTAGCTAGGAAATGCTGAAATCAGTATTCTTTGTACAGTTTTTCTTTTGCCTCAGTTTCCTTTGCACTGAGATAACTTGTTTGTCAAGATGTTTATTTGTGTCACAGCATTAATAGTAGACCAGAAGTCATATTCTGGGATGCCTTGAAAGAAAGGCTTGATTGTGGCACTTCTTTGACGTAATAATCTGTACACATTGGGGGTTTTCTTTAAGAGTCCATGTGAGCATTTCTACTTGAAACCATTACATGTTGATTACCCATCCGTGAATACAGATATTTGTTTAGCCAGTGAATAGAACTCATTTCATGGAACTCTTTGGGAAATGTTTAAGTTACCACTTAATTACCGCTTCCCCCATGGAGGGACTTGTGAGCATTTCAAAGGTCTGTCCTTTAACAAATGCCAAGGCTTTGAAGCAGTCTTATGGACTCTTTACATTTATAGTTATTTAAAAGTTGTAGTTAGTACGTTCAAAATGCTGAAATATATGCTAGTAGCTAATGAGCTTGTGTCAGATGTTTTGCAAGGCTAAGAAAAACATAATTCTAGAAGAAAAGTGAATGATTAGTTCTCTTTTGTTTCAGACTGTTTTTGTTCAAAACACTTAAAGAACTGACTGATAAAAAGAAAGCTGGCATTTTGAAAGATTTGGACGAAAAACTAACCAAAACAGCAAAAGAACTGGGTTATTCGCTGGAGCAAAAAACCATGAGGATGAAACAAAGGGACAAGAAAGTATGGTGTAATTTACTTACAGATCCAGTAAAATAGAAAATGTTAATGTTAAAGTTTAGCTGCTTTTTCTTTTCCATTCGAGACCAGCTGGCCCTAATAGATGCAGTTGTTCCAAGTATTCTTTATCAGCTTAGAACCTTAATATTCTTAGGAGCTGAGAGCTAAGAAAAGCGTAACTTTCAGAGGTGCTTCAAGTTAAATCTCTGCAGACATTATCTATTGCATGCGGAGTCACATGATTTGCTGTGCAACTGATGATGTCTATGAATGTTTCTTAATTCGTGGCAACTTGTCTTTTGTATAACTGTGTACAGGATTTCAACCAATGACCTCCAAGTCCTGCTTGGGTAATACAAACTGAAGGCTAAGGCTTCTTTTTTACAGTGACTTCATTTCATGTTGGGTTTTCTTCTTTTCCTCCTACCCTTTACTCCTCCAAACATTATTGTCTTTTCTAGTGAACCATACTGTTTCCCCGAAAATAAGACCTAACCTGAAAATAAGCCCTAGTATGATTTTTCAGGATGCTTGTAATATAAGCCCTACCCCAAAAATAAGCCCGTTAAGTGAACCCCCCCCGACACCATTGTGCAGCCACCAGAAGATGACATGTCTTTATGTAGATTGTAAATGTAAATGTAGATTGTGTACATGGAAAAAATAAAACATCCCTTGAAAATAATCCCTACTGCATTTTTGGAGCAAAAAATTAATATAAGACCCTGTCTTATTTTGGGGAAACACGGTAATATGTCCAAAATGTGATAGTCTCGGTTGAATCATTTTAGCTTCTTGAGATGAGGCTGGATTTGATCTAGAGTCCTCTTAGTTGTCTTTCGGGCAGTACATGATATCCATAAAACTCTCCCTCAATATCACATTTTCAGATAATATCTCAGTTTTCTTCATTGCCTATCTTGGATCTTATGGAAGATGAACTTTATTTTTCATCTCTCTCCTACTTTTTTGTAATTATTGTTTTACTTATCTTTGTCCTTACATGCAAGTTGCAGAAAATTTGCATTTAGGAGTCTATTTCTGTCACTTTTTCCTTCTCATCTGTCAACAATTTTGAGGTGAAACACTCTTTAAATTAGAGTGGCAGATGCAATTTGTGTCCTTAGTGAAGTAGGAATTCTCAGAAAGTTGAAATACTTCTGTTTTAAAACATACATCGAGAAAGATAATGGTTTAGAACCTTGATACCTGGCAGAGCGCCTTCTTCTGCCCAGTTCTGCCCATATCATCCACTATCAGAGCGCCTTCTTCTGCCCAGTTCTGCCCGTATCATCCACTCTAGTCAGGCCAGGTGGCTGAGGAGCCTAATGCCAAGAGAGGCCTGGTGAGAAAATGCTAGAAATTGGGCCTTCTTGGCAGTGGCCCCTCGGCTTTGGAACAACTTACCTATAGAGATCCGCCTGGCTCCCTCACTGAGGGCCTTCAAGACTAACCTGAAGATGTGGCTATACAGGTATTACCTAGCCTATCTCTTTTCCTTTCTCTCCTCCTTTTTCTTCTTTTTTCCTTTCCTATCTTGGACGAATCTGAATTTTATCTTATTTTTATATTATATGTAAATGACCCAGAGTAGACATGTTCTAGATGGGTGATATATAAATAAATAAGATGGTGGCTAGCTACTGGTATGCTGTGACCCTTGGAGCTGTGATTGTTAAATTAAATGCAAAATGCTAGAACATGTTTTTTGAACAAATGCAGAATTGGTATTATAATGGTGCTGGTTTTGTTGGCCTGAGAGCATTGTTTGGTGTTAATATTTACCTGTTTTATCTTTTCAACCCAGGTTGTAACAAAGACATTTAATGGAGCTGGTATTGTTGTCCCTGTAGATAAGAATGGTGTTGGATATAGAGAACTTCCTGAAACAAATGGTAAAATTCTAGGGTTTCTATTCTTAGCAATCTTAGATAATAAAAGTAGTATTTTGCTTTCAATAGTAGCATGCTTTAGATATTGATTATAATAATCTTTGAAGAGAAATGGTGAAAGCTCCACTGTACCAAAATGTAATACATGAGCATAAAAAAGTAACTTATTTGCCAAACTCCTCCTGTTATACAAGTGGCATGACTTTTGCAAGCAAATGGTTCTAAGTGAAAAAATCATCGTGGACCTAACCAGTTGCCTCCTGAGTCACACACTCAGTGTGCAATTGATAATGGCTGCAGTGATTTCTTAACTTGGGGCAAATTGCCTCCAACATTTACTCAATTTGTCCTACACCAGTGTAACTAGGTAAGAGGATTTGGGCCACTATATTATTTTCTCAAACAAGGTATCTTATTTAATTAAAACTTGGTTAGAGAAATAGGAGAAAAAATTGTGCCTTAGAGACTAAAAAAATTATTAGAACATACAATGATAAAGTAGTTATCTCAGCCACTGGTTTTAAAACTAGTGATTTTGTGGAAAGTATTCTTTCAATATTCAGTTATTCGCAAGGGATCCCCAAGTTACAGAGGATTCCAGGTGATACTCTTTATCATGCACTGTTTATTTTGGGTCCTGAGAGAATCTGTTGGGCTTCACTGTCATCCTGTGGAACTGAATTCACCCTAAAAATGCACAGCAGCTGCAGCAGTAATGATGGACATGTTGCTTACCTTTCATATAGTCCTCTCACTGAAATACAGTGTTTCTGAGACTGTTTTGCTCATAGTCTGAAAACCATAATGACCCCTTTTTGTTTCTTCCTGAAAAAAAAACAATCTCTTCGCATTTAACAGGAACTCAGAAATACTTCGCTAATGATCATCTGTCATACTCTTAAGCAGAATTTTTTTTTGGTGCTGTAACTTTTTGCTTCCAAGAGTCTGTTGGATTCTGTGGTCTGAACTTTCTCTCCTATTGTTTTTGTGCATATTATAATTACTGCCTATATAGAGGTTTCAGTCCAGTTCTGTTTTGGATTTGTTTTCCTTGACAGCTAGTCTCAAGAGAATCTGTAAAGCCATTGTAGATGCACCTAATGATGACCAGAGAATGAAAGCCTTTGCCCCTATTCAAGAAATGCTAACTTTTGTTCAGTTTGCCAATGATGAATGTGACTATGGAATGGGATACGAACTAGGTATAGACCTCTTCTGCTATGGCTCTCATGTAAGTCAAATGATTTTCTATGTAGTAACTAATACAAATCCACTATCCCCAACATACTATGTATTGCATCAAATGTTATTATTAAAACTAGTCCTAACCTTTAGGAACAGTAACAAGTGAAAAACTACAGTGTCCAACTCTGGAAAAAATTGTTCAAAAGCTCTCTGAATGAAGAGTAAGTTTGTTCCTAGGCATTACCTCTCAAAATTATATTCTTCCACTTAGGAAAATGTGTGTGAATCTTTGGTATGAAAAACTGGAGGAAAACCTGCTATATTGCCCAAAATCCTGTTGTATCTGCAGATGAGTGATGATGTCACCAGGAGTGGGGAAGATTTTTGGTAATAAAAAACTTTCTGTCCCATGGCTTATCTGACTCATAAGTAGTCGATTGTACTGCATAGGAGCTGTGCGATGGAAGGAAGAAGGCTAAGGCCAGAAAATCTTTGCTACCAGATGATGTTACTTACAGAGTAGGTTTTCAGTAATTAATCAAAAATATCCTATGTCTTGTGGCTCCCAAGACAGCCATGCACTGAAATAGATTGCTTAAGTGGAACTAGCAGATGAACTGAGGGAGGAATTCTAATTACCAAAAATCTCCCTCTGCCAGTGACATCATTACCCTTCCACAGATCTGTGCAACAGGATTTTGGCCACTGTATATTACTGATCTCATGGGGAAACTAAAACATGTTCTCTAATCTTTTGCAGTATTTTCACAAGATTATTGGTCAGTTGTTGCCTCTTGCTTACAACTTGCTGAAGAGGAATCTGTTTGCAGAGATCATTGAAAGTCATTTAGCTAACAGAAAAGAGGAGAATGTAGACCAACTCACATCATGATTTATAATGATGTTTAAGTATAGTGAAATACTAATGATGTTTTTTGATGATTTATCTTTTTGGTACTAAATTGCTGTAATTTTTATGTGGTGAATAAACCTTTTTCTAAGCAATATCTATTGAGGCAAATATTTGCCCAAAACATTCATTTTTAATTTTTTTGTTTACTCCCTGCCTTAGCCTTTTTACCATAGTCTCTCGAGACTGAAGGATGCCTATGCTGTGCCTTAGCCTTTACTTCAGATTCAACACATTTGTTTTTACACTGTGTTGTCCAGATCCTGGAGAGAAAATGTAAATCTTGTAAAGGGAGAGAACTGCTAGTATTTCACAGATATTTCAAGGGCAATTGAGTATGTTCTTGAGTAGTAGTAGGAAGGAAAACACAGACTAAAATCCTGTTGGTACCATGTACTGCAAGTAGGCAACTACCTTGTCTGTTGTCATATTCTCATTTTCCTTGACTTAGAGAAACAGTTTAAAATGTACAGCAACAAGAGGGAAACCACTATTGGATTGCCTTGAAATGTTTTTTCCCAGTAGGATTCTGGCTACAGTTTGCAGATGAGTTCTGTACTGTGGACCAGCGGTCCCCAACCTTTATCAGACAGCAGACCAGTTGGGGGGGCAAGCTCCGTGCACAGGGGCACCCCCGCACTTGGGGGTGGGTGTGTCACACTTGCGGGTGGGGCGTGTTGCACTCGTGTGCATGCCTGCAAGCGTGACACGCCCACCCACAAGTGCGACACACCCATCGTGCATGTGTGCGGTGGGGTGGAGATGCGTGTCTGCGGCCCAGTTCAAGTAAGCCCACTGACTGGCACTGGGCCGCAGACCAGGGGTTGGGGACCCCTGCTATAGACAAGAGTAAATCTCTCCACTGCTGCAATTAAGAACTCTCACCTGTTATGCTCATTTAACATGTAGAGTTTCCCAATAAATGGAGTCAGACATCCCCACAAATAACATAATCTACATAAGACTTATTTCACTCTTATTGCTTTTATTGACTTCTAAATAGCCTGTTACATAGAGTATTGCTCACAGGATATTTAATAGTTATAGAAACAAATTGGGCTGAAAACTATGACTGGGAGATGTGCATTTCTCATTAGAAAAGCAGTGTTACATTTTTTTTTCAAGAGGTCTCTGGGAAGTGAAAGAAAATAAATTTTAGTGAATGGACTTTAGGGTGTTCTACAACCCTGGCGTGCTCTGGTCCATGGGGTCACGAAGAGTCGGATACGACTAAACGAAACGAAAAACAAATTTTATTGATTAGATTTTTAAAAGTAAGGCATTAATATCATAACAAACTAGAAAAAAGTTTTGCTTTCTACACTGCAATGTTAAGATGAAACTGTTAGCAGCCTTTCATTCGTTAGTTCTCATTCAGAACTTCAAAAAGCTTGAGAATTTACAGTATACTACACTCAATTGCATTTACTGCAAGAAAAACCAGCCTGTATCCAGGGTTATCTTTCTGCTAGAGAAGTGGACCCTGCTGGAATAATGAACTTCTCCATCAGATTCGGTCTTGGAGGATTAGGGGACCAACCCTGCAGAGCTAATTTAACGATCAGAAACTCCCATATACTGGCTGAAATCCTACTGCACAGGTCCAGATGTGCAACAGAAAGGATATAAGCAGCAGCGGGTTGCATGCAAATTGTACACGATGCAGCAAATTTGTGTCCGTGCTAAAAATCATCAAAGCTTTTAATCAATGTGATTAGCTGCTGAAAATATTATTCCAATTGCACATATGGAGCTGTGCAACAGGAGTTCAATATCTATATGGAAATATGCATGTGTAATAATGGATTAAGCTGATATAAAGAAACACCGGTTTTGAAAATCAGTTAGCGAAAGATTAATCTTCCTAATGTTAGGGAAAGAAATACACAACCAGGTAGGAAAAGAGGTAACACTGCATTGACTTCTGAGTTCAAGTAGTTTTGCTTCATTTTTGTAATAATTAAAATTCCAAAAAATGAGAGAGAATGAACATGGGTCATTAACAGGCATGCTCTAAAATCTATTTAAGCTGGGATATCTAGTTGACAATAATCTAAGACCTGTCTGCCACTTAAAAACAGAAGTGCAAACGTAGACCTGCTTTACACTTTGAGTGGTATAGCTACTTCTGCCCCTTGCCATCCTCAGTAAGTGGTTATACATTGCCTAATCACTTGAAATATACTTGAAAGCAACAAAAATAGTGCCAAATAGGCTGTTCAGGCTATAGATAAATTGAGCTACTGTCAACCCTCCACTTACGAACTTAATCCGGAAAGAAGTTTGTAAATCGTAACCCAAATCAGCATTTCCCATAGGAATGCACTGAAAACCAATTAATCTGTTCCGGCTGTTTTTGGTTCTTAGGTCAAGGGGCGGTTTGTAAGTTGAAGCATTAGTTTCCATAGGAACTAATGCAAAGCCAGTTAATGCGTTCCTACCACTAGGGGCAGATTTTTTTTTTTAACCTAAGATGGCGTAGGAAAAAAAAAGGCAGGAAACCACGGAGGGAACAAACAAACACTGTTTAAAGAGAACACTTTTTAAATCAAGCACCTTTTACACCAGAACAGGCACATTTTCAACCAAACACATTTAAATCAAAACAAGCAGCTTTTAAAGCAACCAAGCATGTTTTTACCCAAGCAGGTTTTAACTCAAACCGAGCCCCCTTTTACCCAAGCACTATTTAACCCAAACAAAGGACCTTTTAAACGAAATTTTACATTTAAAAATGACAATACCAGGCAGTCCCAGGTCTCTCTTCCCACTCTCTAACCGCTTGGACGAGCGAAGAAGCAGACAAGCAGCTTCTTTGCTAACAAAGTTCAAATTTCTCGCTTTCCCTGCCTTCCCCGCACTTTTTTTCCACTTTGAATCCAAGTTCACAAGTTGAGTCCATATTTTCCTATCAGAGTGGTTCATAAGTTGAAATGTTCGTAACTAGGTCCGTTCGTAAGTTAAGGGTTGACTGTATTGTCTTTAAAGGCAGAAAAGCTAAAACCAGGAATTGGGAACTTGTTCATTTGTTTGCTAATAAATGAAGATAAACAATTTAAAGCAAATACTTCATTCCAGAATGGTAACTGCTTTTTCTGTCAGCCCATTTAAATTTTAGCATGAAAATTAAATTTCCTCTTTCCCTTTTTGATCAGAGTGGTTTAGTTCACGATAGTGCAGGCTGAGATTTCATCAAGGCTTCACTAAGGCCATTGACTTGGTAAACATTCCTTTAACTAAGCTGGAGAAGTTACATAGATAGATTGGAGGAGACATCAAAAATGTTGTGGCAGAGTAGCAGATAAATTGCATTGTGTATATGTCCAAAATGTATTCATGGCAGATTGAGATTCATTAGGCAGTGTTGCTTATCACAGACTTTGGTACTGCATCATTACCCAACAGCAGAAATTGTACTCAGTGCCAAAAAAATGCTGTCTGGTGCTTTGAGTCATTTTTAAGGGTTGCCTTTTATGCAGTTTCCTGTTTCTACTTGAACTGCAGGTGGAAGAAAAGAAAATGTTGAGCAAATGAGCACATGTGCCTGCAAGTTTTTTAAAAACCAGTCAAAAGTAAGAGCTGTTTCAGACATGACATCGAGTGTAATAAGTGACAATGGTGCTAATATATAGTTGAGTCCATATTTTCCTATCAGAGTGAGTGCACCGTTTAACGACGAATCCGCATAGCGATCTGTTTTTTTGCAATCGCTAATGCAATCGCATTGCGATGTTTAGATAGGGAAAACATCGCATTGCGATGTTTTTAGAACAGTTGATCGGCAGTTCCAAAATGGCCGCCAGGTAACCAAAATGGCCACCGCAAGCATTTTCGCACGCTGCCCTCACCAAGGCGGCGAAAATGGGGGTGCTATGGAGGATCTTCGGTCAACGGTGAGTTTTCGCCCCATATTTCGTTCCTGTGGGGTTTTCCTATCCGTATAGTGATGTTTCCGGATAACGACTGTGGCATACAGCTCTGCTCTCACCTGTCCGTCACAGCTGGGCAGGGGAACCTCAGCCAATGAGAGGACAGAGGGTGGTGCAGAAGTGGGAGGAGCTGGGTTATATAAGGTGTGTGTGAGTTCAGATTGCGTTTGAGAGATGAGTGATTAGAGAGATTGATAGTGAGAAAGAGCCTGTCGGTGAGGGAAAAGTCTGTGTTGAGCTAGTGTCTTATAAACAGTGATTGACAATTTGATTTTATACCTGTGATTTATTCCTTTTATTTTGTGTAATCAATAAACACTTTATTTGTTTTGAAAGAAACACTTGTCCTTTTGATTTTTAAGGATAGGTTGGTGGCAGCAGTTTTTGGTGAGAAGTAGTGAGCACTCTTAGAGGCCTGGATGGGTAGAGGCTTGAGAGTGGCTTGCTACAGCGACGATTAATCCGGAATGGATTAACGTCGCTATGCGGGGCACCACTGTATATTGAGTCGAATTACATTTGTCCCTGTTTGCAGAGAGAACCTCCATTCAGGAGGGGGCGTGATTTTTTTACACTTATATTCTCTTGCAGTGCTACCTCAGCATTTCTTAAGGGGCATGGGCCGGCAATTTTTTTTCCAGTTTTATTGCTTTTCATATGATTTTGCACAACTTCAGAGAAGGGTGAGAGGCTTACATGAAATCCATATAATTGTGACTACAGAGAACAATGAAGAAGTCCAACCAAAAATGGCCATATAGAATTTTTTTAATGCTTTCTAAATGTAGTCATCACAGTAATAGGATTTTGTTTTACTGTAATGATACACAACTCTACCACACTAGTATAAATAAAAACATTTAGATCAATGTTAATACAGCCCTAGGAAATACCACAGGTTAACAAACTATGCAATTTTTATGAACCATCTGTTGAACTGTTATTTTTAAAAAAGATGACACCCCACCCTCATTCTGATCCAACTTAAATAAGGCGTTGCGAGTTTTTACATTATTAATAGTAAACCCATTCTGTTGCACAGGCACACTTACTTAATTTTCAAAATCTCTAATACATCATGGTGACATAGTTATTTGCCAGTAAGAAAAACTGAGGTTAGAACAGCAATGTGCATTAGTTCAGCACAATAAAGATATAAAGTACTGAACTATGAAAAATCTAACAAAATGCAGCAGGGTTCCAAACGTGATGTCTTCTCACTTCATACTTCGCTGGCACTGGATTTATGTAATACTCATTTAATGTCAACTGGCAGAACTAGTTTGAGAACAGTTTCAAACATGATAGGAGGCTTAAGAATTAGAATAGGTTGGTTTGGAAGAGAAAATTTAGATGTACATAATCAGCCAGGGGTGGAAAAATTCTCTCCCACACTCACAGTTTTTATATCAAAGAGTGACTGATGCAAGCAGTCTTCTGCATTCTTTCCTTTATACAGGGTACTAGTCAAATTAAATTGTGAACAGTGATGTTAGCAATATAAAGCTGCAAAGGAAAAGCTAATTTTATATCCACGCATACAAAGTGAAAATGGATTGATACATTATCAATTTTAAGTAGCTGAAAAACACAGAACAGTCGGAGGACAGATGCACTTTCTATCAAATGAAGGGAACCTCTGGATTCTACCCAATGACAAAAGCAAGTTTTTATAAATAATCAAGATCCTTGAGTTCAAACCAAATTAAAACACAAACACAAATTGAACAAATATGAACTATGGAGAAACATTATCACATAACTTTGAAAACCTATGACTTAAACAAATGTCACAAGTTTTAGCTAATTAGCAAAGCACTTGTTTCCAGTTCTTAAACTATGGCTACATTCTCACCCACTACATTCATTCTGATGCTCCTATAATCCTCTCAATCAAGGTCTTTGATATCCTAGTTTAAGTGCTGAAGAAAGAAATGGGTTAACTTACTCTAGTAACCAAATAAACGTTTTGTTTGTGAAGAGGGCTCACATGCGTGTAGCAGGACTTCCAGTTTTCTTTGCCTCCTTAACAACAGTTTCCTCTGCTATTTCAGTAACAGCTTAGGAGACTGCAAAGTTTCAAAATGGGCATATCAAACAAGGTGAGGTGTTACTGAGTAGATGTACAGTCAGAAGCCACCGTCTACATGGATAACTTACTATGTAACCCTCATGTCTTTTTAACTTCCAAGAAACATTTAAGTACATACTATCAATGCCCCAAACATTAGAAGATAATATTTTTGGAATGCTCAGCTGCCAGTCTGATTTCCAAACTGGCCTGAGTATATTTTGTTTTATTCTGTGAAGTACCTTAAGATACAACATCCCCTTCAAGTCTTTAAAGCATCCAGTAAATGATTTTAAAGTTCCAGTTCTCAAATTGTGTAGACCACAGACAGAATTTGGAATTTTAACTTTTCAAATAACTGGTTTCAGTTACAACTGTGGCCTAAATCTAATTGATTTAGATTTCCAGTTAGAAAAGGCCCACTGAATTAACTGTTAAATGATGCATCAAGACTTAAATCTCATTGATTCAGTGGGTCACCAGTTGGATTCAGAACTTAGTACAGTAATCATTTCAGCAGCTACATTTCAAAATCCCCATAAATAAAAATCAAATGACCACAGATCTACAATTAAAATATGATCATGTTGTTAAATCTCGCACTATTTACACGTACAGAGACTCTTGTTTTTCCAGTTCTTGGATGAAAAAAGAAACAGTAATTTTAAGTTTATGGCAATCAAGTGTCAGGTTAGATTAGAAAAAAAAAGAGTTAAACCTTTCCCTGCAGGCGCTTTTGCCTAGCACACCTTTATGGTGGATTTTGAATTACTGTATAAAAATCACACATCTACAAGGTAAAATTAACTGTGTGACTAATTTATATTCAGTATATTTTAATCCATAAAAATATAAATAAAACCATGGTAAAATATCTATGTATATCTAGTGCAAATTATGATTATAAACTTTTTCCTGTTTTGTAGGAATCGGAAACAAAAATGACAGCTCTTAATTGGGGAGGAAGGATCTCCAGTGTTTGAACATGCAATTGTTACCAGATACACAATTATACAGAATTATTCCTGGTTTTAGCAGACTAGCAATATCTGCCTTACACTGCACAACATTGGTATATATACCTTAGTGTTTTTAATAATACAAAAATTGCATAAGCCCAGGTCACATTATTATCCTGCAGCACAGATGTTCTTCTTGAGACAGGTTTTGGCTGTTTATATTGCAGCTCACAAATGACAGGATTTCTAACATGCTCCAGAGATGCCACTTTACCTGTACAATCTGCTTGTGCTGCAGAAGATCTAAACTGCCACAACAGTTTCATGATATACAAGCTCTAGCTTTAAATGGCACAAGAAATACTTCCTTCTTGTGATCAAACTCAGCAGGTCATAGTATATCTCAATATGAGAAACTATCATTTTAGTAGGACACACACCAGTAGTGAAGAGACTGTGTTTACAGGTTAGGAGAGACAGGAAATGAAAGGTCTTCTGGAATGTAAAGAGGTGATGTAGAATATAACTATGCAATTCACAAGTTAACACAATTCTTTGCAGTAAAAAGGGCAAAATTTCCAGTTTTCAAATGATGGCTCAATTCAAAAGGATCCCTCCAGAAACAGGGACTAACCATCCATTTCTTCAAAACTAAAGCAACAGGATGTGAACCAGAGCCTTCCGTCTTCTGACACAACTTCTCACTGCACTATCATAGCAGATTTAGCAACTCAGAATGCATCCAGTGCAGGACTGCAGAATTCCACTTCCCCACCCCCTCTGTTAGTGCAAGAAACAGCCTTTGTCCATCCCTCCATCCTTTCCTCAACCAAACTCCTGAGATCCGGCAGCATGCTTCTCCAGAAATCCAGTTTTCATTCTGCATTGCAAAGCAATGCCTCATGCTAAAGTGTTGTGCTGTTCAACAAACGAACTTCCTCTTCACTTTCCCCTCTCTCCTCCATTATTGGGTTCAGTTGAACATTATTGACGTGGGATCTTGGTTTGCCGTCTGGGCCATATGACGGAGGATATCTTTTTTTGTTATAATGCCAAGGAGGCGCCTGGAAAGAGACACATTAGAAGAGGACTAATTAAAAACAAGGACACAAGAGAAGTGAGGCAAGCTCATTGGATTCAGAACTTAGTAATCATTTCAGCAGCTACATTTCATTGTCGCCAAATCCTTTTTGTTGACAGGAACAGAGCATAAGAAAGCCTAATTTCCTTTTCATGGAAAAAATTATTGCCATCAAGTAACCATCATTTTGTTTAAAATGACAGCAGTACTATATTAAAGAGGATGGGAACTGAACTGTTACCCATTTTCAAGACAATACAAGTAAACAGAAGCCAAGGCTGTGCTCACTTATTTTGTTGTTTCTGATTACCATATGCCAACAAAAAAGTAACAAGGGAGGATAAACAGGGGTGGAAGGTATGAATAATTGACATTGATCTCATGACCAAATAAAAATAAGTTTAGATCTAGCCAAAGTCAAAATTGCTTGATAATTCAATTTTGAGGTATTGTCCAGCATTATAACCTACTGGTTTAGGTGCCTTCATAAGAGCACATGCAAACAGATTAGAAAAGAATGATCAATGGCTAATGTAGGTCACAGATTAGGGAGGTGGCGAATGAGAGCCAAATATTTAAATGTTTGTCCTTAGATTAAGAAATAGCGCCCTTATGATCAAGATCTTTCAATATTTTTCAGCAAAGAGTGAAGCCGTCCTAACAGGTGCTATCATAGGAGAGGCAGAAATAAGGAATGAACTTTTGACCTTGTTATTTTTGTTAGTAGAACAAAAGTTAGTTTTGGCTGTAACTTTTTATTTTAAAGGATGCATGAAACACTTGTGAAGTATTAGAATATGGAAATCTAATTAGCAGCATGTAAGCAACTAAAACTTGGAAGGCCAGGTTTAACAGCATCTACTGCAAAGCAGCAACCAAAATCTATGTAGCACAGAATATAGCAAAGACAACTGAACTATCAATTAAGAAATAAAATTATTTCCAGTAGTCACTCCAGAACAGTGACTATACAAGTGCACAGGAAGCTGAAGTAGTAGCAACGCCACAGTATGCTCTGTTTAGATGTCAAGTCTAACATGGAGACTTCAGATTGATTGCTCATTGTTAAAAATGGAAACTCAAATCCACAGTTTTGACACATATGAATTTTACAGAATTTCATAAAACTTACTAGGTGAGAACAGATGTACCCTAATATCTTTCAGAACAGCATAATTTCTATCTTTAAAATCTCTAATCCACCTCCTTCTATAACATTCTTTTTTAATTAACCACTAATGCCTTCATTAGCATATTTTCCACAAATGGGTTTTGCTTGTTTTTCAGATTTACTGTATTCTAATACAAACGCCTATATCTTCACACATAATGGTCCACTGTTGCTCAGATGTTGCAAGAACACTGAATGATTCACAAGTTTCATGCTTCCTGTTCTCTAAATGATCTAAGGAGGAGATCTGATATATCTAATCACCAAGGGTTCGACGTGTTGCTTTAGTTGCTCGAGATGCTCTAATATGTTCTTCTTTGTGATGATCCCCAAGACAATCCTGAAACAGATCATGTTATGCTAATAACTGTGTGTGAAATCAAACAAAAAAGTTCCAATAATAATGGGGTGGGGTGGGGTTTGAAAACTGAAAACATGGACTGCAGAAATGCTAATAATGAAAAGGTTAACTGAGAAATGATTTAAAGGATAATACATCTTTGTTTGAGAGATGTAAAATCTACCCTTAAAACGTACAGGAAGCTTAAAACAAAGAGAGTACAATACAGAGAGATATTGAACATGCCTATCTAAATGTTCTAATATCACAACAACCTTTCCCACAGTTTCTGCTGGTATGAAAAATGAAATGCAAGAATAAATTTAAACTTGTATTCCTAGACATGCAAATGTTTAATTTTTTTTACAATAATCTTTTCCTCTTTTAACCTATCTCTGAATTCCAGTCATACTGGAAGTCCTTAGCAAGGCTATGTGAATGCTCCTCCATTCTATCCTGCCCAAATTCTATCTGAATTTTATATCTAGAAAATATTAGATCAAAATCTGTTCATTTAAGATTCTTTAAGCTTGTTTTTAAAACAAGGGTTGGAGAATTCACATTTTTAAAGGAAAGGTTATGGGGACTGGTTATAAACATCTTGAAATAACAGAACCAAGTGGCAGTGAAAACAGTGGGTAGACAAGGAGTTAATTGTATGAATCCTTTGTTTCTTCCTGATGTCTTACACTTCATAGACACTACTTATATACAGTGGTGCCTCGCTTGACGAGGATAATTCGTTTCATTGAAATCACTGTTAAGCGAAATCCTCATCAAGTGAAATGAAAAAGCCCATTGAAATGCATTGAAAACTGGTTCATTGTGTTCCAATGGGCTAAATATCTCAGTGTCCAGCGAAGATCCTCCATAGGGGCGGCCATTTTCGGTGTCTATAAAGCGAGCAATCCATCCTAAATCACAGCGGGGAGCCATTTTGCACAGCGGGCGGCCATTTTAGAGCCGCCGATCAGCTGTTTTAAAATCGTCGTCTAGCGAACATTCGTTCCCGAAGCAGGGAACCGATCGTTAAGCGATTTTTCCCTATTAAAACATCATTTTGCGATTGCAAAAGTGATCGCAAAAACTTCATCGTCAAGCGGTTTCGTCGTTTAACGAGGTAATCGTTAAGCGAGGCACCACTGTAAGCCCAAGCCTTCTGTACAAGCCATAAGAACTGGATAACTTTAGAAAACCGAAAACTAAGATCTTCAGCAAGCCATACACTAGACCAGCTACTGAATCCTGAATGTGGAAGTGATTCTGTGAAACACAGAACATTAAAAGACACCCCCCATAAAAAGTTTACAAAATTATTTCACATTGCCTATAGCAGGAATAGCACTGCTAAAATGAAGAACCAAGAAACAGACTTTTTGTTCCTCCAAATATTAATTTTAAAGACAATGCTAGTTTGTGCCTCCAGAGGCCACAAAAACTAAGGGATATTTTGCTGAGCAGCATTTTAGAATATAGACTTTTCAGATCTGGGAGTGGGTTTAAAATATTTTACTCTCCTAGATGTTGTTATCTCACAGATGTCCTGGACAGGATGAACTAAATTAAATCCAATGTAAGTCCTATTAAAAGTCAACCTACTAAAATGAATCAGACTTGCTAGTCACAACTAATCCCGTTTATTTTAATGGTTTTAGGTTCATGTAGGTCTAGGTAAAGGTACCCCTTGACATTTTTAGTCCAGTCGTGTCCGACTCTAGGGGGCGGTGCTCATCCCCATCTCCAAGCCGTAGAACCAGCGCTTATCCAAAGACAGTTTCCGTTGTCACGTGGCCAGCATGACTAGAGAACGCCATTTTACCCACCGAGATGGTACCTATTTATCTACTCGCATTTACATGCTTTCAAACTGCTAGGTTGGCAAGGAGCTGGGACAAAGCGATGGGAGCTCACTCCGTCGTGTGGATTCGATCTTACGACTGCTGGTCTTCTGACCATGCAGCGCAGGTTTCTGTGGTTTAGCCCGCAGCGCCACCACTGAGCTATTCAGTTTTACATTGAATATAATCCAATATCTATCTTTTCGTTCTGCATAAAAATGTACAGTACTTGTATCATGCAGGCATATGCAGCAAATATACCAGTCTGTTTTATGATTCTGTCAATCTGTGGATTGGGTTTGCCCCCAAAACTGACAAGCAGAATGATAACTCACTACTATTTAAAGTTATCAAATGCAAAGCAACAAGAAGTTGAAGTAAAAACAAACACACAAAAAGCTGCAAATTAGTAGACAAGCTGCAGATTAATAAGCAAGAAAAATGTTTTCTACAAGTCACTAAAAAATTTAAGAAGTTCATAATAATTTTGAAACACCAGATTTAACGCTGCAGATATTAATATGTTCATCTACTATCACACATTTGTTACCCCAAGAATATTTTAAAGAAGACACCATACTAAACAACAATACCATACATGCATATAAACATAGCAGCTTAATGTGGGTTGAAGGCAGCTATGAAATTTTTTTCCATAATCACTATAAGAAGCACTAAATTTAAATAATTTAAGATCACACAGGGATGAGATGTCTAATACGTAATTCAAGTAAAAATATAATTTAGGATAAACTAGAAAAATTATTTTTATTCTTGGGCATATTTTGCTTGCAAAAGATTTCCAGTGCACCCCCCCTGCATTTTCAGATAGGGCAGGGGGAAAATTATTCCAGAGGCAAGAGTTTTCCCCAGTCCATGGAAACCAATCTGTCCCATCCCCCAGTTCCTGTATACAGTCCATGACCTCCTTCAATGTCACGTTCCTCCTGAGTGGGTAATTTCCATGAGACGTTTTGCATGCAACAAAGCAGTTAACTGCCAAAAAATTATCAGCACCAGCTCAGGGACACAGCTTCTTCTCAAATCACACTGAGATGACACAAGTGTACAATGTAAAGCAGAGGCAGAGAAACATGAACTGTAATGATCTCAGAAGCAAGCTGGAGCAAATGTCATGGATTTGGAGGGGAAATGCAATACAGGGTTCTGCTTTCACTGGAAGCCCCATGTTCCTTGTAACATGCGGCTTTTCATTCATCCATTTGTTTCTATTTATGGGTACACTATCAGTTGAAGAAACAACCGGATAGCAGGAACAAAGCTCTTCAAAAAAAAGAAGAAAAGGACGACCAAAACAGCCACAAAACTAGCAGTAGATGGCTTTTACGAAATTGGCAGCACAAAACGGTGCAGGCTATGATAAAAAAGCCTCTGGGGACATTTCTGGGACCCAGCCGCACCTTCAAACCATTCTTAACTCTAAAAGAAATCCCATGAAGATGTTCAGTACATCCAAGAAAAACACAGATGGCAAGGAACTAGCAGTATCAACAATCTAACCAGAGGCAGTTGTGTGTATTAATCCATGCTACACTAGACTTTTAGACTTGAGTAACATGATTTAAATAATGGAATTATACAAATGTTATCTTAAGATGTGTTAAGTCTTAAGGATTCTGACATCTTAAGAAGACAGTGTGACAAATAATGGCCAGCATTTTCCCCCTTCCACATTATGAGGAAAACCAATGAGAAGGAGAACACCATTTTAAACTTGTGCAAAAAACAACCTAGGAGAAAGTGTTATTGTGGGAATTCCACAAAGGGAATTTTCACTTTGAAAAAATCAGGGAATATTAAGGGGGAAATATAATAAGACTTCCAGTCGACTCCTGACAATACTGTGTCCTCACATTTAACATTTTGAACAAGTATTAGGGTGCTAGATTCCTGAAGGAGGAACTACAAAGAAACAGGAATAGAAGCAATCTCAAACCTTGTGAGAAAACAGCATTTTCCAGTACTGGACTCACCCATTGTGTGTTACAAGGCACTGCCTCAGGCCCAGTTTGCGAAAAATATCCACCACTATCTCCATTGGTGTGTGATCCGTCACAGTAAAAGGGCTCATGTCAAGAATACTTCTAAGCTTCAATGGTCGAGGGCTTTCTGCTGGAAGTGATGGGGTATGCTGGGCAAAACAGACTCTTGAACTCCCAACAATGCCTTCTTGCTTCTTTCTAGCACTTTCTGTAATAAGCACAAGAAAAGGAAAAGAAGTAGATTCCTATGTCCTTTTTCTACATCATTATGTGCTATCAAGTCAATTCTTACTTATGAAGATCCCTTTCAGGGTTTTCTATACATAAGAGTATTCAGAAATGGTTTACCATTCCCCTTTTCTGTAGTACCTTGGGAGTGTACAACTTGCCCAAGACTACAAAAGCTGGCTCTTCTCCCAGGAAGACACAGTGGGGAATCAAACTCCCAACCTCTGGCTTCTCAGCCAGGTATTAAACTCACTGAGGTATGCTGCCAGCTCTTACTTCATTCGTTACACTTAAAATAATTTATTTAATTTTTTAAAACAGATACCAACAGTTACTCAATTGTAGCGCAAGGACTATACACAATACTATAACATTTCAAAAATTAATTTTCTCTTCTAGACTATGTGACATTTCATAAATTCAATATTCCTTACATGTTAAATATGAATAAAGAAAATCAACCCTAGAAACACCCAAATTAAGTGCACTGTAACATTAGACAATATTAAAAAAAACAATAGATGGTGAAGTTGTTATTAACATATTGATCACCTGCCTTGCAACTAAAAATCAATGATTAAAAAAAACCCAGGCATTAAAAAATGCTAAAATTGGTACAAATATCTTAAAACATACCTAACAGAACATCAATCATAAAAGCAAAAGCAAGAAAACAAATTATTCAAGGCAACCCCAGAAGAAAGTGTAAGTCCACAATTTCAGTGTCACTGAAAAGTTTCTGCCATATTATTATCTCATATTTCATGGTTTGGGAGCAACTGATATGGCCTCCTAAAAACATTCATTTGGATAAGATTCACAGGACTGCAGTTGGTCCTTTCCAAACCAGTCCAATACAATTATATGTACTTCTAGGATTTGCCAAGTTCCCTAAAAGTGCTATCACTGTGTCACAACATCAACCGGATGTGACAGATGCTTTTTAGAGCAGGAAGAACCGAGAGAACATTTCTGCTTCAGAGAGCAATGATGCTAGCCCTTTGTTCCAAGAACAGTGAAGAAATTGAAAGCTCAAAGATAAAATAAAACCCATTTAAAAATGGCTGAAAGAGGCGCTTCTGCTCTTCAAATATCAGATTCCCACCTCCACCTCTTACAGTCCTGTAATCCCTCGCAAGATTTCTGCTACGACTGCCCTTATGCTTTTGAGGAAAAAGAATACAGGAAGAATAGTAAAAAAAGTTACCTATTGCAATGGTCAAATCTCTCCTCAAGGCAAATCCTACTAGCCTTTGAGATTCCTTTGACATTATAACAGGGAAACCATTATAGCTGGTTTCATTTATCAAATTTTCTATATCATCCACCGTCATATTATCTTGTGTTAGCACTGCCAAGGGTGCTTCGTTTCTTCGAGGTCTCATGACATCAGCTGCCAGTGTTGTGTGGGTAAATTCTTCCTTGGCATCTAAGAAAGGATATCCATTCAGACGAATGTGTGCTTCATAGATACCTTCTCGGCCAAAAGCATCTCCCACCCACTTGCTTGTCATAACTGCAGCCATGAGGGGCACAATGTATTCTAGCCCACCTGTTAACTCAAATACAATAACCACCAGAGATACAGTCATTCTTGTCACACCACCTGAAAGGGAAGAAAAAAGGAAGCTTATCAACATGACCTCGTGGAAGACCATATACGCACATTGTCCCCTAGCTATCATGATACAGACATCTAATAAGCCCTTCACCGCAAGGCAGCAATGTGACACTGCTCATCAGAGATCTTTTGCCAAACAGTGGAATATAAATATTCTAAAAAAATAAAACAGCAGACCCCATGACCCCATGAAAAACAGAGTGTATCGTTATATTAATGGAAGGAAAATGTTTGCTTTTTTTCTCTTTGAACAAATGCAGTTATTTAACAATCAGACTATAAAAGGGTCCTTTCAGATTGCAACCAACATGTTTCTGCAGCCATACTCTCACATGATTTCTAGTTCTGTGTGGTGCAACTCAAAAGTGAACTGCACTAAGTTTAAGGTTGCTATTTAAACATGGGAGCAGGGACTTCTGCTTTTGGATTATCCTTATCACCAACCCAGGCACCCAGGGTTCCCATTTACACTGCTGCTTTACCTTTGTCACAGCTCAGGTCTTTGCTTCACGAAGCCCTATTTATGTCTTTTTGGTGAAATACTCTGCTTCCCTGAAAATAAGCCCTAGTATGATTTTTCAGGATGCTCATAATATAAGCCCTACCCTAAAAATAAGCCCTAGTTAAGTGAAACCCTGCCCTCCACCATTGTGCAGCAACCAGAAGAAGATGACATGACTGTATTTGAAAAAATGTTGATTGTTGTACATGAAAAAAATAAAACATCCCCTGAAAATAAGCCCTACTGCATATTATTGGAGCAAAAATTAATATGAGACCCTGTCTTATTTTCGGGGAAACACGATACAGCTTTGATAACTTTGATAATACTACACAATCCATTTGTCATAGCACTGACCAGCAATAAACTGGCTATTTTTCCAGATATTTTTTCCATGGGCAAACGGAACAGCTGTTGTATTTGTTCTGTTTTGTCTCCTTAAAAACTTACTCATTTAAACCAAGCAAAAGCATGAAGTGTTGTGGCATTTTTAGACTAGTATATTTATTTCAATATCAGCTTTTGTACATTACAATAAATTTGCTCAGACACATGATATACTTAATACTTTTGATCAATCATACCAATTCCTTGCATTTGCTATATTATGACTTAGTTACCTAAGCATGCAGCAGCACCAACCATAGCATAAAGGCCTGGTGTTATACAGTCTGCTCCAACTTCACACCACTCCTTGAAGATAAACCAGTCTTGATGATAATAAGCAAGCTGCTCCACAGCAATTCCCACAATTCTCCCAGCTATTGCTCCAATCGCCATACTCGGTATGAACAAGCCAGAAGGAACCTAAAGAAAAAGACAGAGATGGCTGTGACATTGTACATGAAACTTTCAAATATGTCTGCAGAATGGCTGGAGATACATGAAAGCATCTAGCACCCAAGACTTTGAATTGTACATCACTTCTCCAACAAGGACTTAACTGAACAAGTGTGAAAGACCTCCTTATCACTAACCAATGCTTCAGTAATGGTGGGAAGCATCACTGCTTCACAATGGAGGCATAAGAAAGCCGAGTAGAGTTACGATAGGGAGACAGCATGTGGACAAAAATTTCTGAAAAGCAGAAACTAACATATTTGGTAGGCAGAGAACCACTAGAGTGGTGAAAAAGGCTTTATGTTTCTGGAGGCAACCAAAATTGTTCTACTCTGTATGGATGTGTTTTTTTAAACTACTTTATTAAAAACTGGTGTTTTAAAAAGGGTTTTAATCCATTTTGAGAGGACACATTTTACTCCTCTGGCAGTAAAATGAACAAAAAAGCAATCAACAAATACTTTTGCTGAATAAGCACATTGATCAGCTTGGGAAATTTGAAGAATATTATTAGTGAAGAGCAGCTCTTTTATATTTTCAAACTTTCTCTACCCCATTCAGAGGCAGTCAGTCACTGCTCCCACTGTCTCTCACACCCTCATGTAACTGCACTGTAACAGGGTGTGACGGACGTCACTCCTGTCAGTCATTTTAGAGCCCTAGTACAAAAGCCTATGACAGGACAGGAGGGTGCGAGTCAAGGGAACTGGGAGTGCCAGAGAGCCAGTTATAGTGTGACAGATCGTCAGGAAAAAGATGGTAAAGTGTTTAGATAGTTAGAGAGAAGACTGTGAAATGTTTAGACAAGATATTGGACAGTTGGTTAGTCAGAGAATATTAAAGAGTTAAAAGGAATTAAAAGTACATAGACAGTCTGAATATATTGAGACCTTGATTAAAGTAAATGAATACAAGTAAGCTTATAAGTAATCAAATCCACGTTTAATGAGTGAATGATAATAGAACATCCATGATTTTCCTTCTGTGATTCACTTATTTATCCTTAAATAAACCTTGTTTTGTTTGGCAGCAAGAGTGCGAGACTCATACTTGATATAGTGAGGATAATATCCTCTGGTAGCAGCGGAAAAAAGTGAAAAGAACAAGTCGTGCCCTAAGGTGAATTTAGGGGTCACTGGGGGTACGCGACACAGGGCTAGGCACATTATTGCAACATCTTACCCTTACCCTTCCCAAAAGCTGCATCTGAAATATTTCTAAAGTCGTATCTGCCATCACAATGCATTTAATCATACTCCTAGAAGCCAACATCTGCAGTCAAAACAGATTTCACTCAAGATGAAATAACTAGGGTGGTCAGGGGAAAAAGGGACTAAGACTCCAGCACCAATTTGTAGGTAAAAGAATTTCAGAAGGTGTATCTTACATGCAAACTGCATCTTAAGACATTCCCTGAGCTACACAGTATTAAAAGATACTGGAGCTTTGTTGTTGTTATCACCCAGTCACTCAAAAATAAGGAAAAATCCAAATAAGAGTTAGCTTCCAACAGGATATTGCTGTTTGCTTCTAGAGAATGTGGCCTCCTTTACAAAACCTCCTTAAGGTACTGAATATACAGCTTTCAAAAACTCTTACTAAACATTTTACGAATGCACAAGAAAGGTGCATAAGATAATCTGATCTCCTAAGACAATCCTTGCTGCACTTTTACATTTCAAAACAGCATGGATTTTATTTTGTGCAAATAGAACTTCACAGCCGGCATGCTTTGTTACACAAAATAATCCTTGTTTTAACTCTCCATTTTCAAATCTTTGTGAACTTGGCATGTTCAGATTCCTGACAGAAAACTGAGATATACCATATAATATCCAGAATGAATTAAACTCTGTCTCATTCACTGAAAGCCATATGCAACATATTATGAAAAACCTGCCTATCAAATACAGTAACATTAGCTTGAAAGCCAGAGACAATTTGTTTGAGAAGACTAGTATAAATTCAAATATTTCCTGATGCTGTATTTGCATAGTTTTCCGCTTACATTCGATACAAGCTTCTCTAACCAGGCACAACCCGAGTTGTCTTGGAGTACAATTCCCGCTATCCACAGACACCAGACTGCTGGGCTTGACAGGAGTTATAATAAACATATCTAGAGGACATCAGGATCTACTCCTTACCTGTGTAAAGTGAGTGTAATTCCATGTGTTCAGTGAGACTCTCTGTGTAATCCTATCCATACTTCCATATTCACACTCTCTCTCTCTCTTTCTCAATCTCTATATGTGTGTGTGAGAGAGACAGAGACAGAGACAGAGAGAAAGAGATATGAAAGGAAAATAGAACAAACCAAGGAAAGGTTAATAACCACAAAATCTTTTTTTTTTTTTGTATCTTACCTTGATACCAAAAGTGAAGACAGTCATTATAATCTTAAATATAAGGGCTAAACACAGTTGCCACATAGCTGAGTACACTCCAGTGCCTGCTGGACGGTCGGGAATATCATCAACTATTTTGCTGATATTCATGTCATTTCTGTAATCACAAAGGGAGGAAGATTCCAAGGGGCCGCAGTCTGTGAAGAGTTCTTTGATAAGTTCACTGGTGTTGACTCTGGTGTATGGATTTGGAAAAGCAATGACAGCCGTTATTGCTGCTACAATAATGACCTCCAGAACAGGATACTTCCCAAATTTTGTTGATTTGCGTCGGCGGCACCAAGCAATGTTTGCACGGATGAAAAATGCTCCCCATAGCCCACCAAACACGCCCAGAAGAATGAATGGTAATAGTTCAAACAGATACCATGGAGTATGGTATTCAACATAGAAAAGAACTAGACGACTGTTGCCAAAAGGATTGATTGATCTCAAAACAAATGCAGCCACCAAGGCAGCAAAGAACGATCTCCACAAAGTTTTCAAAGGAAAATAATAACTGACCTATACAGGAGACAAAAAGAAAAGAATCGGTTTAATCCGGAAATTTGTTCTCATTCCAGCATATATCAGAAACATAAGCATTTATATTGTCAAAATCTGTAGTTGAACACCGGTGTATAGGAATGGGATTCTTGGAATACAAGGACTCCCAGTCCTACAATTTAGCAGGAACCCCTCAGGCCAAATTATGGGACTGGGGACCCTCAAACCAGCAGGAAGTAGAAAAGCCCTTCTCCTCCATGCTGGGAAATGGGTTTCATCAGAAGCTGCCCCCCCATACACCTTTGTGAGTCCTAGAGAATCCTCGTGACTCCCACAGTGCAGTGTGTCTGTCAAATACTTTTCCAACAGTTTGATGCCGCAGTATGGGAACATCATAGAGATGAGGTGACTGCCCTGCCTCCTGCCAGTTTGAGGGCCTCCAGTTCTGTAATTCTGTCTGGGGGGTTCTTGCTGAATTATGGGACTGGGAGGCCTTGAATTCCAAAATACCCATCCTTATTAATTTACATCTTACGTATAGGTTGCAATGTCTTAGATATCACTTTAAATATGAAGAGAAAAGTTATTTACATTTTTTGTGTGTGCTAGCAAAATGTTTTAAGCAATTCTCTACCAGTTTTCAAAATAAAGCCTGTCACACATACATTTTGAATCTAGCTTGGAGAGGTTTTGCAATACTTTCATGGTATGCGAAGAAGCTGATGCACTGATCCAAGCACAAACTCATATTGTCCCTATTTTTAAGAGCTCAGTGGTGTCACAGTAAATATCGACTGAATTGCACAACAGATGTGTAACATCACATATTTGCCTCATCATAAACCAGATTCAGCCTGGATCTTCTCGACCCATGAACTACCTCACTAATTTTGATCATGTGAATTAGTCTTCAGTCTTCATTTTCTATTAATCTATTTAAAATTAATTTAAATCATTAATTTAAATTATATAGCAGTGAAAAACCAGTGCAGTGCAGTGGTTAAATTAGAGTGGTGAAACAAAATTCAAGAGACTGGAATTCAAATCTCTCCTAAGCCAAGAAAATCACTGGTGATCTTGGGCTAATCACATGATCTCAGCCTGACCTAACTCACTGAGGTGTGAGGATAAAGTGGAGAGGAGAGCCATGTATGCAACTCTGGGCTCAGTGGAAGCAAGGTGGGATAGAAATATAAATGCAACAAATGCCTCTGGCACATAGAATTCATTTCTTGGCGATTAAACTCAGAGTGGCATAAATATACCAGATGGGCGGGATACAAATCAAATACCATATTTTTCGCACCATAAGACACACTTTTTTCCCACAAAACAGGGGGGGGTGGAAAGTCTGTGCGTCTTATGGAGGGAAGAAAACAGATTATATTTTCCTGTTTTCTTCTCCTAAAAAATTGGTGCGTCTTATGGAAAGGTCCGTCTTATGGAGCGAAAAATGCGGTAAACAAACAAACAAACAAACAAGAAAGCTTTCATACAAATCAGAGCTATGTTTCCTTCCTTTTATCAGTGTACCCCAAATTAATGAGAATGGTACGTTCAGACAGGCCATTTAGAAATATTTTTATTAGCTAGTAAGGAAATGTCAGCTTATTTGCAAGGATTTTACTCTAAATTCTGACACCCTTTTGTGAACAAATACCCCTATAGCAAATACACACGGAGTGAAATTATGCTAAACTTAGAACTGCTCAGGACAAGAGACATGAACAGTGCCCATGTTAAGATTACAGTAAAATGAAAAGTATTTTATCAGCCCTGCTTAATACTTACTTCTTCTAAGCTGAAAAGGACTCCTCCAATAGGGGCACCAAAGGCTACTGATACTCCAGCTGCTGAAGCAGCTGATAATACCTGTAGAAAAGATCACTTAGCTTTAGATTTTTTGAAATTTAAAAGAAAACAACTCATTAATAAATCATGGCATATACGAACCCCAAAGCAGCAGAACTGAGTAGCCAGCAAAACCTTATATGAATAGAAAGTCTTAAAGATGTAGAAGGCAGATACAGCAAGGACAAGTAAGTGCTTTCTTACTTGGCCAAGTGGAAGAAATTTTTTTTTAGCAATATGTTCCAATGAGGGCCAATGTGCCACAACTCTGGAATTTGAGTGCCCAATTTATGCACCCACATAGTTACAATGTATGTGTAGGAAAGTGTGGTGCAGTTATCCAGTTGGGCGCCAGTAAATCCACCGTACACTCTCAGTTGCACTCTTTAGCCAAAGCAATAAAGCTGTCTAGAGGCACCTACCCAACCCACTTCACATTTATGAGAACTCCCTGTTCCAGATGGGGAGGCCATACATGGATTTTTTCTTAATATCCGAGCAGGGTATGCACTATGCCACAGGGATGAGGTATCTTGTCGTGCTGGGAATCCAAAATCTGATCCAGTGCTCTTGCTATCATACAGCAGAGAAGAGGGCTAGGGCTCTTGGTTCATAATGGCTAATATGTTAGAAACAGGTGAGGAGAACAAAGTTCTAGGCAAGGTATTGAACAATTTTAAAATGCAGGTACTTCCAATGTTAACACTTTTTACTGATCTTCCACGGCAAAAGTGGGGAATCTCTTTCAGTCCAAGAGCTGTATGCAGTGACAGAATTCTTGAGAACTGCATTCCAGCAGTAGGTGGGGACAGACATAAATGTCTAAGACCAAAAATACCAGCATATCTTAGTATAAAGCTCTTATCAACAGCAGCTAAGCTACAGGAGAGGCGTTTCAATTTTTTGGAGGCAGAAAACCATTCAAAAGCTGGAGGACTCCAGCTTTTGGGGTGATTAGGGGAGGAGAGTGTGTCTCTCGGAGAAAGGTCTCATTCAGTTCAGGGCCTGAGATACTCTATCCCTATGTTATGGTTTTGCTGTCTTGCACTATTAAAAAAAAAGACAACCAAAGAAGGCTTTGTTCTCCTTACACAATACAAATGCAGATGATACCTTTTTTATCAGACCACTAAAAAACCCCAAACAATCAGTGAACTTTTGTGGTTTAAAGCTACATCCTTAGGCTATGCACCGATGTCTTGTGGATAGAGTAGAAAAATTATAAATTAGTCTCAAAATTTAATGGCAGGTGGTTGTGTAGGCTTGCTTCTTAGTTAGCGTCTAACTTACCTCCTGCATTTGTATTACTCTATGAAGATAACTGAATTAAGAATTATTTTCTAAATGACATGAAAACAACTGACCTTGAATGGAATATAGTAATATGAACATGATCCTGCCATCTCTTTTGTCAAACTAAACAATTAGAAATAATTTATAATTTTGAGAAGGACACACCTCCCTTTTTTTGGCTTCATTTGTGCTATACTTCGGAAAGAGGTAGGAAAAGATATTTCCACAGCAGCAGGCGACATGTACAAGAGGACCTTCTTTTCCTAAACTTAACCCTGAGGCTACAGCCAAGACTAAAGTGACTGTTTTTATCATCAAGGTCCACTTGCCCAAGTATCCTCTAATTATGAAGCCACTCAGAATAGTTTTGATCTAGAAGAGAAACAAACAGACACTTTAAACATAGTATAGACTTTTCATAGAAACTCTGAAATCTTTTAAAAATTTGCTTAAAACTTAAATTAATTTTCTTCAAATTTACATTAAGTTAGACTGAATTGCAGCTATAAGCATACACAAGGATCAACTGGTTTAATTGATTTTTCTTTTCTTTTTGGTTTTCCTAAAGATGACAGACTGCCTTCCAACAGCTATTTAATAACAGTCCTATAACCAGCTCTAGATTATTTCTCATTCTCAATCTCATCCTCATCATCATGCTATTTCAACCTGTCCTATGATGATTAAGGTAATAATTTTAGGTTGTTTTTATGTAATATATATATACTATATAACCTAATATAAATCTTATTAGTCATAGGTGAAACTTAAGATGCCCACCACATACACTTTGAAAGCTATAGCTGATAGGTAAAAGTAAAGGTCCCCCTTGACATTTAGTCCAGTCATGTCCGACTCTAGGGGGCAGTGCTCATCCCGGTTTCCAAGCCACGGAGCCAGCGTTTTGTCCGTAAACAATCTTCCATGGTCACGTGGCCAGCGCAACTAGACACAGAACACTGTTACCTTCTCACCATGGTGGTACCTATTTATCTACAGTGGTGCCTCGCTTAACAAGGACAATCTGTTCCAGGAAAATCGCTGTTAAGCAAAAACATAGTAGAGCGAAATTAAACCCCCATTGAAACGCATTGAAACCCGTTCAATGCGTTTCAATTGAGTAAAAACTCACCATCCAGCAAAGATCCTCCATACGGCGGTTATTTTTGCTGCCTACATAGTGAGGAATCCGTCCCTAAGCACAGCAGGGAGCCATTTTAAGCACCCGGCAGCCATTCTGAAAACCCGACAATCAGCTGTTTCTGATCGTCGTAAAGCGAAAATCGGTTCCCGAAGCAGGGAAACTATCATCGCTAAGCAAAATTTCCCCATTTAGACCATCATTTTGCGATTGCAATTGAGATCGCAAAAAGATCGTCGTAAAGCGGATTCGACGGAATGCGGGGCAATCGTTAAGCGAGGCACCACTGTACTTGCATTTTTACATGCTTTCAAACTGCTAAGTTGGCAGGAGCTGAGACAAGCATTGGGAGCTCACTCTGTTGCGTGGATTCAATCTTACGACTGCTGGTCTCCCAACCTTGCAACACAGAGGCTTCTGCGGTTTAACCCGCAGTGCCACCACGTCCCTTGTGGTGATACATTTGCAATAATAGTATTTAACTTTACCAGAGTAAGATAAAAGAACCTCACAATGCTTTTGCCTGACAGAGAAAGAAACCCCTATTCTAATCTGTAAACATTTACACATAATCAACATGATTAAGCACTTTAATACAACTAGGTTAAAAGTTTATCACCTTAAATTTCACATTCTGAACTGGAGTCCCCAAAGAATCCTGGATTCTTTCATCAAGTTCCACAGTTTTAATTTGTATGTTACTGTTAACAAAATAACAGCATATAATAGAGCAAATCCTACCTCGGGAATCCCAGAGCCACAAGCATAAGGTGCAAACACCTTCACCAGAGACACTGCGAGGAAAGCAAAGCTCAAGGCCCAGAAAATGTACATTATGTAATTCATTATGTAGGAACCTGGGCCCTAGAAGGAAACAAACACAATCGTTAAGACATTTGAGATAGCAACCATGCGCATATTTCACTGGCAGCAGATTAAATAAGCCTTATCTTTCTCAAAGAACAAGTCTTAGTTTTTTCAAACAACCACAGAATGGTACTGCAATAGGAAACCCCAAAGGCTCAGTCCAACTTTTTTTCTGTGAAGCAGAAGTCAGATGGGGTGAGCACTGCCCCACGTAACTTTTATTTCTTTTTAAATTCCTCTCCTTCATTCAAAAACCCTTCATGACTAACCAAGAGATCACTAGAGTAACTTCTTTCTCATTTACATATCAGCACTATAGTCATAGAATGCCAACAACTGGAGGACACGTTGCTTCCCTAGATGCAAAACTACAACTAAGGATGAGATGAAAGAGCAAGAAAGGATCACATCTGATAGTACTGGAAAGGGTTGCTTTGCCAGGAGTGACCTCTCTTAAAACAACCTTTCCATCTGTTGGGGAGTCACTCTAGCCTAGCCTCAAAAAGGTCCTGCTTGGGTACTTGTCGAGGTCAGGCTGGAGCACTACTGCCCATACGTCATGGGATCGCTGGGAAACAGACTGAACTGCACATGGCCACAAGTGTTCCAAAATGCAAGCTATATGCCTGCGTAACCACACCCTAAGAGTCAAATACTAAAAGGGTGGCTACTAGCTATGAACTCTAGAACAGGCAGCAGGGGACAAGACCCTACACAGCTTCACCTTTCTGCAAAGAAAAGGCAGGGTTTTCTCTAGTGGAGAGGACCACTGCTGACCACTTGATAACCTGCTTAGAAGGTATCAAAGAACTGTCCAGTCTGTAAAAAGTCCAGTCTACCAAAGGCTACATCTGTTTCTGGAGAACCATGCACAGGTCAGATGCCGGAGGTGGAGCTTTTCTCTCTTCTCCTGTTTCCTGTCTGTGCCGACACAGGGACCGCCTGTTTCTCAAAGCACAAACAGGAATCCAAGTAACACGGCAGTGTAAACGAACACTGATCTCCTCCTCCATTATCAAATTATTAAATAAAAAGCACCAGTGTGATGTCATGGCCGAGAGGGGACACAGTCTGTTGGGGACAGGGGACGTATCATCCCCATCTTATACACAATGAGAAACTGGCTTCCATTTCATAGCTATACTTACTTCTGCTTGACCTATTATTAATTCTGCCCATGTTTTCCAAAGTGGACACTTGTCTCGCTCTTCAAATGTTGTCTCATCTGATGCCCAGCAACACTGTTCATGGTTAAACCACAGAGCACTGAGACAAATACCTTCCTTTAAATCAGTCATCCAGTCTGCAGCAATATCGATCAGCCCAGCCAATGCACCTATTGTAGAAAGACAGGTGATTCAGCCTTTCAACAACCATACTTAAAATCAAATCATGCAGAATATAACAAACATAAGGTATTCAAAATACAAGACGGGACAAGATTGCTTCTTCTCAAAACTGCCGCTGTTATCAAGATCCATGGACTTGCCGCTCAAACAAAGTAGTATTCATGCCATTAATGAGTAAAGAAAACAGCTAAGAATAATTGATCAGCAGACTATTCTTGACCAGGAACATAGACTGAACAATTCAGGCCTTTCCTCTGCATTATGCTTTCTGCACACCCTGAAGCAGTGATTCTCAGCCTTCAGTCCTCCAGGTGTTCTGCATTTTAACTCGCCACAAGTGCAAGTCATGATTGCCAAAGGTAAGGATTCTAGGAGCTGAGCTCTCAATCAACTGGAGCAGTGGTTCCCAACGTTCAGTAACCCAGGTATTTTTGGACTGCAATTCCCAGAAGCCTTCGGCACCAGCTGTGCTGCCCAGGGTTTCTGGGAGCTGCAGTCTAAGAACACTTTGGCTACCTAAGGTTGTGAATCACTGATTTAGAAGACCATGGATCGAAAACTACTATCTTAGAGTACAATACAATGCAGAAGAGCACAAGACATGTTATGAATTTACACAAGGCCCAGCCAGATTGAAAGCAATCACATCACTTTTTTTAGCAAAGGAGAAAGTGACAGGAAGCACTGTGCATCCTGAAGTGCTCTCTCAATTTGTACCTCTCCTTAAAGCCATACCACCACTACCACCATCAAAAGACAAGCAAAGAAACCTCCTTGCTCAAGGGATTCAAAGTGGTTTCCCCCCTTTTAAACAAATAATTACTTCTGTCAAGGCTGACAGGGCTAACTATTTTGTTTAGAGTGCAAGTACATGCAGATACATACAGCAGTCCAGCAGCATACCATATGGAGCTGTAGATTTGGGCCAGAACCTCTAAAATTTGGGCCAGAATTTGAAAATTTTAAGAACTTAGATTAAGCCAAAGCAAATGGACAGACTTCTCTACAAAGTCTGATTTTGCAATACTGGGTGAATTTTTAGACATCAGATTTTTATGAGATTCTATTTTCTACTTTGTGGTAGTTTCGGCTTTTCCATTAAAGCAAAGCAAAAATCCAAGTGTTTGTGTGGAAGTCAATGTGTATATTAAAACATGTGCTTTATTCCCCTTTTTGCACACACAAAACCTGTGTGCACATACATCTGCACAGACGTATATTTGCATCCAAATTGTCCCTTGCACTTGTAAAAGTGGTTTCCATTTACAGATGGGTTCTGTATGTCTGGGATTCCACTCCAACCTGCTGGAGCACTCTGTGATGGAACACATGTTGTTTCCTGACCCTCAGTAGCAGTTCTTTAAAAGGCACAAGAAGTAGGAGAGAACTCTACAGCATAAGGAGTGTTCTTTCTCAGTCCCACCACCTCCACAGGTCCGTTTGGTGGGGTCAAGAGAGAGAGCCTTCTCTGCAGCTGCTCCCAAACTCTAGAACTCTCTCCCATGGGAAGCCAAGCTGGCCCCACCTTTTCTGTCTTCCGCAAGCAGACAATTCCCAGAAACTTTCACCACCACCAGAACTGCCCGAGGTTTCTTCACCAGAATGGAAAGACGGGTCTCAAAATAGGATGATTAGTAATTTTGTGTTGCTTTTAAATCTGTTTTAGTAATGCTTTTATCAAACACTTTTAACATAATATTTAGTATTTAATGCTTTTTTACTATTTGAACAACTTCCTGTTTTTATCTTTCTAATGTTGTCTTTTTTAAAGATGTAAGTAACCTTGGGTCCCTTTTTAGGATAAAGGTGTGGTAAAATATTTTAAATACATAAAAATAAATAAACCCCATTATTTGGATCCAAACTGCAAATAACAAAGCCATATAAACTTATACTGAAATAAATCAGTTTGCCTTTAAAGTGGCAAAACTCGTTCTGTTTTATTTTTGTTACACATGCTCATACAGGCTAACATGGCTACTTCAATGAAAGATATTTACACTGTGATCTGACTTCACACAGGGCTTTAGAGTATATGCATATTTGGATGTTTAAGTTATTCTATACAATCTTGTTCTTTCATTACTTACATTTTAACAAATGCTAATTAAGTCCATAAAATCAAAATATAAATGCAGTAAGTATAAGCTTTTAGGAGATAAAATGTAAAGGATATTTTAAAGATGTAACAGTCTCTAAGGTGTTGGATATTGGTCATATTTCTTTTTCTTAAATTAGGGGTGAAGTCAATGCTTCCAAAATAATTCAAAACCACAAAAATTAGTCAGCTGCTCGATGAAATCCAAGAAGAAAAATGATGTCTAAAACAGTATCACCTCTCTCTCTCATACATGAATTTTCCAAGATGTTTTGTTAGATGGAGAATGTTGGCTGAATAGAATATACAGTGGACCCTTGACTTACAGACGGCTTGACTTACAGACGGCTTGACTTACAGACTTCTCTGGCCGCAAAATTTAGGTTTGACTTGCAGCCTGAGAATTGACTTACAGACCAGAAAAAAACCAAAATGGAACAAAAACGGCCTGTTACGGGATTAATCGGTTTTCAATGCACTGTAGGTCAATGGAGACTTGACCTACAGACTTTTTGACTTGAGAACCGCCTTCCAATACGGATTAAGTTCTCAAGCCAAGACCCCACTGTACTCTGAAGAGCATAATTCTATAACAGTTAATATATTCTTTACTCATTCTAGTTTTCAAAAATAAATCAGGACTTTATAACCAGTTTGACTTGTACTGCAGCTAAAAGAAAAAATACATTCTTAATTGCATGTATTGTTTTTAAGTTACTTGGCAAGAAAACAAAAGAATGGCAAACAACGAAAACACTCCATGTTCTATAACATTCTAAACGTTGATGTTATATCCAGGAAATCAATTACAACTGCACAGAAATCATAAAAAGAATACTGGTCAGAACCTTACCAATTACATACTCTGGCATAAGTCAAACAGCATCAAACACAAGTCAAATCTTAGCAGCAAATGAGCGCTAGTTAAGGGAGTCTGCCCTTGCATCCTTCACTGCATGCCAAATCACGTGGGCAGTGTGCAACAAAAATATAAGCCCCTTTAACTAATAGTAACCGCCATTTAATTTACACTTCATATGTACATAGTAGAATTCTGGGTTATCATATACAGACAAAACGTGCTTATCTAGATGAAATTATCTAAATGAACCATATTAACAGTATGAATTTACAGAAGGAAATGCTGACCATACCCCATGAACTGTGAATTGCAAATGCTACAGTGACCAGAGTAGGGATGAAAAGAATACTTGTTAAAATCTAAGTTTTCAGCATTTTATATTATATTATCACAACTCAATGAGACACTTTGAGGCAAAATTTCCAAGCCCAGTGAGATTCCTTGCCTCCAGGCTATGAGCATTACTGCATTATTTGCACCAAAAAAAAGCTGTCTTGTTCACTTGCTGAGAGCCCCACATGAATGCATTCTCTTGCAGGTTGAGAATAATAATTTGGGGTTTTCTCAAGTGAAGGTTTACCTCACTCAGCCAGAATTTAAAGCTGGAATCCTATAAGTACTTATCTAGGGATAAGCTCCAGTGACATCAGTAGGACTTGGATCCAAGCAGAAAATGTAAAACATGTACTTTAAATATTACTTATTTCACCAAGTCCTCAAAAATTAAGTGAACCCTTCATAGTTGTCCCCACCTGATGCCAATCCAGTTAGTGTTACGACTAACCATCCTGACCATGCATCATACAAACTCTTTGTCATCTCCCAGGCAGACTCTTTCTTCTTGCTATTGATCTGAAAAACAAAATATTATTCTATTATAAATTTTCACTCGATAATATATCACCTATACATTTAACTGTCTCTTCCTCCTCCTGAATTAAAACTTCTGAATCTTGGAGAACAGGACACTATAATTTACTGCTTTCTTACTCAAACAACAAACCCATCTTCTAGTCACCTATGGAAAATCATCAGGTGCTGGATAAGTCAACATCTTGTCCTACTACTGGACTTCCTCCCAGTTCCCCTAGCAGAGGATGATGCCAATACTACCTTTCCTGTTATTTCTCACTTTAATACACTTTAATTCAGGTAGGCCCAGCAGCTGCAACTTCTCACACTCAGAATACACACATGGATACATAGCAAACTGTAAGTGGTGCCCTCATGCCTACTCCCAGGGAAGCTATCTGTATGTTAAATTCAATTTAGACTGGAGGCATTCAAGAGAAATTTAGGCAACCACCTGGAAGATACACTTTGATTTGTATTTCTGCATTGAACAGGGGGTTGGACTCGATGGCGTTACAGGCCCCTTCCAACTTCATGATTCTATTGCTTTATTTTCAACAATAATTATATTAGCTTAGTATTGCTTTTATCTAACATTTTAATATAGTGTTTATTTAATTCTTTCCTGTTATTTCACACATTTTGGTTCAGTTAGGCCCAGCAGCTCCTTTCTAACTGACTAATGCCACCTCACAAGCCCCATAGGTGATTACAGATATTCATTACCTGCTCATTATCTATAGCCTGGGATTAATTTAGCCTCCAATCATTGTCAATGTTTATGGAACAATCCTTCCTAGGAAGGAAACTGGCTGCCAGATGGGGGGTATATAAATCAAATAAATACTAATAATATGAATGCTAATACTAATACTAACTAATACTAACAACAACAACAACAACAACAACAAGAAGAAGAAGAAGAAGAAGAAGAAGAAGAAGAAGAAGAAGAAGAAGAAGAAGAAGAAGAAGAAGAAGAAGAAGAAGAAGAAGAAGAAGAAGAAGAAGAAGAAGAAGAAGAAGAAGAAGAAGAAGACTCAAAATTTACTGAACAGCAGCAACATGCCACAGACATGACCTTTCTGGACACTGGAGAGAATCTTGTTAGTTATATCTGCTAATATTAACTCAATTGGCTTAAACCTCAGCAAGAAATTACTGTGAGTTAGAGTCAGTGTAGAGATTTGTTGTTATGTGTTGAGGTGCACAGTCTGGCATGCAATAGCAGATATCTACCCTGACATTTTAGGGATGTGTAGGCACTGCGGGTTAAACCACCGAAGCCTCTGTGCTGCAAGGTCGTAAGACAAGCAGTCGTAAGATCGAATCCACGTGATGGAGTGAGTTACTGTCGCTTGTTCCAGCTCCTGCCAACCTAGCAGTTCGAAAGCATGCAAATGCAAGTAGATAAATAGGTACCACCACGGTGGAGAGGTATCAGCGTTCCGTGTCCAGTCACGCTGGCCATGTGACCATGGAAACTGTCTTCGATCCATTTTACCATGGTAAAATTAGAATCAAGATACAAAAAAGATAGGACGGTGGGTTTCTTTGAGGGTAAAGTCCAAGTGGATAGACTGTGGATATATACGGATGAAGGAATAATTTTAAAAAATGTACACATACTTATTAGAATATGATTTAGAGGAGGAGATGGTGAAAGAGACAATGGTAAAATGGGCAAAAAATTTTGGATACAGTGTGGATCTCGATGACTGGACTAAGATGTGGAAAGAAAGTTATAAGATGCTTAAACCGTTAAATCTCAGAGAAAATATCGTTAAAATATTCTACAGATGGCATTACACACCAGTAAGATTAGCAAAAATATCAGAGGGTAACAGCAATATATGTTGGAAGTGTAAAAAGAATGTAGGAACTTATTATCATATGTGGTTGACATGCGAAAAGGTCAAAAATTATTGGACACAGGTATGGGACTTAGCAAAAGAAATCACCCAGCAGAAATTAGATATAAAACCTGAAATGGCATTATCGAATGTCATATCAGAAATCAATGATAATAAATTGTCTTATGTATATACTCACAGCAGCTAGATTACTCTGGGCCCAAAAATGGAAAACCGAACAGGTTCCGATGATAGAAGAGTTGTTAAAAGAAGTTTTGGGATATAGCAGAACTGGACACTCTATCAGAAGTACTACAGGAACAGCCAAGAGACTATGTAAAACAAAGCTGGGAACTAATATATTCTTGGGCCCAGAAGAAGACAGGAGCGTAAGGCAAAATTTATGATGCATGTATATTTACTCAATATACACTGAAAATGAAATTGGGGGAGCAGAGGGGTTAACGAGGCTGGAGTCTCTGACTCCAAAGGAGGAAGGGGTTAGTTTAACTTGAGGGGTTAGTTTTTGGGGTTTTTTTTCTTTTTTTTCCCCTTTCTTTTTCTCATCTCTTATGTCTTGCTTTTTTTTCTGTGTAAAATAAAATTAAAAAGATAAAAAACTGTCTTCGGACAAACGCTGGCTCTACGGCTTGGAAGCGGGGATGAGCACCACCACCTAGAGTCAGACACGACTGGACTAAATGTCAAGGGGGGCCTTTACCTTTACCCTGACATTTTAACTTGCAGCAGTTTGCTCTTAAGAATGAAATTGACTGAGTTGCACAGAATTTGTAATAGGATTCCAGACACTAAACCTTTTTCCTTTTCATCATCAGCTACTAACTTCCAACTATATTAAAATAATCATCAACAAGCAGTATTGTAAAGTGGCATCAAATACCCGTCTGTGTCTCTCTCTGTCTTTGCATTTCTCTCGCACCCAGTCGATAGTGTGGAAGTCATCGTAAGTTCCAACACCAGGAATGGGTTCATCCAAGAGGTCCAGCAAGTGTGTCGTGCTGTTAATACTTCCTCCATTTGTCATTGTATAATGAGTTCCAGCTGTGGAAACAGAAGGAGAAATAATTGAGGTGTATAGCAAAAAAAAAGTAACTTTATGTATCACAGAAGAGAAACAGAAACTATGGTCAAAATTCGGTTGGATGTTTACATACATACAAGAGGAGTCATGGAAGGTGCTGTGGCTAACAGAGGTGGTACCAAGTGTGTGTTCAGCACACAAGCCTGCACACAACCAACACCTTGTCAATTGACCATAGCAACGTCTACAATTCCTCTATAAATATCTAATAGGGTTCTGACCCACCATATGTTCAACTCAACACAAATCAGTGAATATTTATTTACTCATTTATTCATTTAGCCTGCTTTTCTCCTTAAAAAAGCATCCAAGGTAGTTTACATCATTTAAAGACAATATTTAAAGCTAAAAATGGAACGTATACAAATATTTAAAAGGATCAAACAAACACTACATTAAAGATGGTAAACAAAGCAAAAGCAGATCAAACAAACACTACATTAAAGATGGTAAACAAAGCAAAAGCAAAAAAATACATTAGAAACCAGTAAGGCCCAACATTCCATTTAAAACCCTACCCAGGCAGGCAGTCATTAAGGGAAAGTTTGCCTAAAGAAAAAGAGGCTCATAAAGGAGGATACAGTCCTTAAGATAGCTTGGCTTTTATAGGCTAGAACCAGCATTTGAATTGTACCCAGAAACAGAATGGCAGTTAGTGGAGCTGCTGTAACTGGGGTTTATATGATTCCTGTGACCAGTCCCAGTTAGCAATCTAGCTACCACATTTTGGACCTGCTGAAGTTTCCTGACACTGATGCAGAACAAGTTACAGTAATCCAGATGGAATGTAACTAAGGCATATATCACCGTGACCAGATCAGACCTCTCCAGTAATGGGTTCAGCTGACAACTAATTGTGCAGAGGCACTCTTGGCTGCCTCCAAAATTTGACTTGAATTTTCTTCACAGTGAAACTCCCCCCTTCCCCATTATTAAGCATAAGTAAGTTTACTGTTGCAACCAGTGCTCATAAGAAATTAAGACTTGGGCATAAAATTTAACACATGGAATACTGAAATCTTATAATTGATATACATGCAAATACCTGATAGTCGTTACAACTCTAGTTGAAAAAGCTAAATACAATTTAGCCAAATATCTAGTATAGCAGAAATTATTATCTTGTTTTAAAATAAAGCAAAGTTGATAACTAACTCTCTACAAATCTATCCATTAGCAAGTGGTCAATGCACATAACTAGGTGAATGGCTATGTTTGAACATCATGATAAATAAACCATGATTCTCCAGAACCCTGGCTTTCTGTTGTGTCAAAGTGTTGCGATTCAATTCTTAACTTTCAAAACACAGGCTGCTTGTGTGATCACCAACATGATTTCAGTTTCAGATTATGAGCCAGTCGGGACAACCAGAAGCCCCCAACACTTAGAAATCACAAATATCAAAACTGCAAGTACTTAAAAACAATGCCATTCAAAAACTTGAGGAGAGATTCAAATTAAACAGATTCTAAAGCTATATTCTCCTTTTCTTTGAGTTCTTGGCATTTAGCACAAACTCTACCCACACTTTCAATATTTTTCCCTGCATAATCATGTGGAAAAAACAGCATATTATCCATTCAAAAAAATTCCTCAAATTCACAGCTATCTTGTAAACCAGGTATTCAACGAACCTCTACCGCTTCCCTCAATTCTACACAAAAGATTGTAAGCAGATACCATTAATTATACACACAAAAATAATGAAAGTAACCAGACAGAATGAGGAGTGCATTATTTTACCATATATTCTTATATTCTTAATTTTCTCTTATTTTTTTTCTATACTTCTCCCATTTTTACAAACATCTCCCCAAAGCAAATAACTATCACCTTTTCACAATCAAGCTTTTCAGAGTCCCCTGTAGCAAAAAAACTGGAGGAATATTCTAAAAGTATCTTTAGGTCATGTCTAGACTGCGAAAGTAGGTCACACTGCAAGTATACCACTTAATGGTGTCAAGTAACACATTTCAAAACAAGATTAAAGGTACCATTCAACACCTTCAGAACAACATTGCTTCATGACTGAACTCAATAGTAATGTTTCCAAATGTATTGTGAAAACCAGCAAATTTTCATTCTTTATTTTAGCACCATAATTAAATTTTCAATACAATTTAGTACTCATTTCCTCTGCATCAATTAGCTAATTCAAAAGAAAAATACTTTGTTCCTCTAAAGACAGGTCATGTTTCCCTGATCAACATTCACACACCCATGCAAATCAGTTTTAAAATGTACAAATAGACATCTGAAATATCCCCAAATTAAATCCCTTTCTTTCACTAATGCATGCATCTACAAAGAAACTCCAAGTGCCAAACTCACCTTTTTTGAAAAGGGAAAGAAAGACATTTTAAAAACTTGGACTTGATATAGAACAGACCCTCTTTCACTAACAGCTTCTATTACAAAGGTTGTCTATTTAATAAAGCTGTCAAATAAGGACCTCTGGAAGTGGGTTTGAATGACTTAGGTAGTAGCTTGTTTCCCTAGAGCTTGGTACTAATGAAGGTGAAGTCACTAGGTTAGATCTCTCTACCAGCTAAGTGTTTTTTTTAATAGTTTCAATGAAAAGTTCACCACACCACATATAGAGTGTTTTTATGCATTACTACTGAGATACCACAGGAGTATACCGGATACCTTGCAGTTGCGGCCAGGTATACATTGGAACCACAAAACGCAGCATCCACACCAGAATCAAAGAACATGAGAGACACTGCAGACTAAAACAACCAGAAAAATCTGCAGTAGCTGAACATGCCCTAAAACAAGCTGACCATGAAATTATATTTCAAAATACTGAAGTACTGGACAACACTAGCAATCATTATGTTAGACTGCACAGGGAAGCTATTGAAATCCACAAACACCAGCAGAGCTTCAACAAAAAAGAAGAAAGTTTAAAACTCAACAAAGCCTGGCTCCCAGCACTGAAAAATACAGTCTGCAAAAGGTCAACGAACTCTACCCAGCTACAAGGACCGGTGATCGCTGCACACGAAAAGACCAGCTAATGACACCCAATGACAAAAGCTCACCCCACAGCTATAAATACTCAACTATCCAAACAAACTGCACCAGAGCACAGAGTTCTGACTCCTGTCCTCTAAAGATGCCAGCCACAGAGACTGACGAAACGTTAGGAAAAACAACCTTTAGAACACGGCCAAAGAGCCCGAAAAACCAACAACAACCATCAGATCCCAGCCATGAAAGCCTTCAAGAATATATTGAGATAAATATTGAACAAGTTAATATCCTTTTCATGATGATGTGAAACACAGACAGCATTCAAGTTTAGGCATGTATGAGGGAGATGGGAGAGGTGATGGCACTATAAGAAAGTGTCTTGAGGAAATGGATCTTCAGGAACAAGGGATGGAAATAAGTCTTCCGATTTTGAAGTGAGTAGAAGCTATAGAGATAATTATTTAGCCACCCCAAAAACTGTTTACCAGAGAAAGCAACATGGTTGTAAGCAAGGAGTAAAACCTCAAGCAAGACCCTGCATTACAAACCATTACTTTCATATTATTTTTAACTTTATTGTTCCCTTTTAAGTTATTTGGGATAAAGAACTATCCCTTTTTCTTAATGATGTCAAACATCCTGAGCATAAGGGGAAATTACAAATCTAAAAGATGCATTTGAAATAATTTTATTTATTTATTTATTAAATTTGTATACCATCAATCTAGTGGCACACAGTTTCCAACTTAATAATAGACTGCTATTACCATGTTTTGATGAGCAATAAAGCAAAAAACCTAGGCAAAGTATGGTAGTGAAAGAATGTAACTGTCTCTTCTTTTCCTGTTACAAATAGCTCATCATAATAAGAGGTGCTTTTAAATTTCAACTATATGCATAGCAAAAATACATTATGTTGACACCAAGGCATTTGGCTAACATCAATTATCCAGCTTTTTCTGAAATATCTGCATTTCATTAACCGGTACTATTAACAGTTTATATACAGCCAAGTGATTATCAGGTTCTCTATAAATTATCTTTCCTTTCCCTCAATTTTTTGGTTTTTTAAAAATTCTTGTTACCTTTGTCCCAGAAACAATCTAGAAACCATAAGATATAAGATCATACCAGAAGAAAAAAATACCGGACTGAAGATAAAGAAAGAACAGTGAGAATAAAATAGAATTTGGAGCTTTGCGTCACTCAAGATGCTTGAGCACTGCCTGGACGCCATACTGCAATGGATGACGGATAATTGACTGAGGCTGAACATGGACAAGACAGAAATCCTGTGGGTGGGTGCTCTCAATGTTGATGGTCTGGGTGAACCCGGACAAGACAGAAATCCTGTGGGGGGTGCTCTCAGTGTTGATGGTCTGGCTGCTTCTCTCCCTTTTTTAGGGAGGCACTCTTTCCATGAAGGATGGCACAGCTTGGGCATATTCCTGGACCCGACGCTGTCAATGGAACTCCAGATAGGGTCTGTGTTCCATACCGCCTGGTACCACCTAAGGCTGATTGCCCAGTTGCGTCCCTACCTTGGCACTGGGTCTCTCACCACATTGGTCCATGCACTGGTAGTCTCGAGATTGAACTACAGTGGTGCCTCGCTTAGCAACATTAATCCATGCAGGAAAAAACATTGCTAAGCGATTTAATCGCTAAACGGATTTAAAAAGCCCATAGAAACGCATTAAAACACCATTAATTCGTTCCTATGGGCTTAAAAACTAACCTTAAGCGAAAATCCTCCATAGGGGCGGCCATTTTCGGTGCCTCTAAAGCGAGGCAACACAGCGGGTGGCCATTTTGTTTTTCCGGCGGCCATTTTGAAACCGCCGATCAGCTGGCCGAACCTGTCCGCTTCTGTGCCAGCTTCAAGACAGTGGTGTTAACCTAAACGGTTTAGGACCTCGATACCTGACCAAACGCCTCCTTTCAACCAGATCAGCCCATCCTATAAGATCCCCACAGGCT